CCGGAGCGACGAGACAAAAACATTAAAACCCATTATAAACGAGGCATTTGTTGCATCTAGTGGGGACATAATTACACATTATAATGACTTATACTATAATATGTCTTTTTACGCGTTGCATTGCATCGCGCCACGTAAACATAAAAGTTGATTCTTAACTTTTATAAAGAATATCTCTTTGGATTTGAGACTTTAGTCTTTGCAACTTTACAGATCTTCTTTATGCACCAAGAGCTTGTAACACTCCAAAGAGAAAGGAAAAATTGAAATCGCATCATATGACCCCTTTAAAAGAGATTAGTAAATGCTTTAAATTATATATTGTCTTTGCAAGTTCGATAATGAATTTACCAATGTTAACAAATGAAACATTGTAAAGTGTCATTACATTTTTACCTGAATTTGAATGGCATTGAGGCAGCAGTTTGATTTGAATGCAATTTGAGTGTAAGAAAGTAGAAATTAATTTAGATCCAATACAAACTTTACAATGCAACAAAAACGTTTGAAATCAATATAAACTTTAAATGATTGCTTGATTTCATGTATATGTTTTAAAGTACCCTAAAAATACCATATTTTTTATGTATAATAAAAAAAAACACCATGGTTCTAGTGACTGTTGTTGTTTTTCAGTTTTTTTTTCAGTATTCCTTTCGGTCTCTGTAACCAAAGAAGCAACTTAATACATTTTCTGTCATCTAAATCATTATTTCACTGCTTATTCAGGTGTTTCAAAAGTAATATGATAACAACAAGAAAGAAAAAAAAATCAGGAATGGCTAAGTGTCAAAGGTTCATGCTGCGTTCATGTTGTGTCGGAATTACCGTAATTACAAAATGATAACTCTGAGATTCTAGTCCTGTTCACAGACACAAAAATGAGTTGTTGCTATAGCAACACTTGTAATGCCAAAATGGATCCAAGTGCAGCTTTTATGGTAATGACCGAAAAATACTACCTTAATTCACTTCTTGCAAATAGACTGGCCATAAAATGTCATATCAAACAGAGGTTGCCAACAAAGTAGCTTTAGTTGCTGCCATCTTGGTTGTTTTTACATAATGCCGCATCAGTTTAGTGGCAAAAATCAGATCTTTCATAAAAATGAATTCAACAAAATATGAGTCATTTTACATGCAAAAAGCTCATAATTATGGTCATTTTGACATTATGCAGAACTAGAGCTGACGTTTGCTTGTAGTATTTACTTAAAATGTAGCTGCTCATATAAAATCCATATGTCATAAATGAGCTTGAGGTTTAAAAGTAGCCTTCGTCTCTCGCTGTAGACACAAGTCTGTATGACAACTCTCAACATCTCTCTAAATCTGAATCATCCTTCCAAGAGGGGGTTATGAAGTTCTGTGCACTTTCATGAGAGGCTGGCTTTGCATGCTAATTGATGCTAATTACAGATGGTATGATTTATAATATATCACATTCTGAAGGATTTTTGGGTTGCATCTCCAACTCTACAGAATGTGACAGCTGCAAGACTGCATTCAAAGTCCCTAATGGTGGGTGAATGTGAAGAATCTAATGAACGTCTTTATTTTATTTTTAAAATGATTCTTGTGCTGAACACCATTAGTATAAATGCTCGTTTGGGTAGTTAAAGTCACACAGGTGGCCCTGTACATGCTACAGATGGGATGCATGGGTAGGTTATACTGCGCTGCAGCAAGTAATGATGTGGAAACAGATCACTTTTATAAAAATTCATGCGGTTTGAAGGTGATGTCAAATCTTCTATTATGAGTAGTGAACGGTGTTACTATTCATAATAGAAGATTCAGAAATACTTATAATAGAAGAATAGAAATAATGGTGTTATTTTTAGAAATTTTGGTTCTGTATTTCAGTAATATTAAGAATAGATCTTATAGTGTATAAGTGTAAATCTACACTGTAAAAAAGTGTGGCGTATACTAGGGATGCACGATATTATCGGACTGATATCGGAATCGGCCGATAATGGCTTTAAATGTAAAAAGCGGCATCGGTCGATATGAAAAATTATGCCGATATGTCTTGCCGATAAGAGGAATATGTTAACTCACACGTGTTCAGGGTGTGCTATAGTGATTAGTTTAGGTCAACAGTGTGACTCATTCTTATAGCAAAGTTTTGTCTGAATGATGATTAGATTCACTTTTTTGGATCGCTGCATTTAATCTGTGAAAGCACGGACAGAATGATGCCTTCGGTGCATGATAGAGTAAACAGTAAGCACGTGCAGCGGCAGCCTCCCTCGGGTCCTAACGCCCGTTCGTTAAGGAGTTTTAATCTGTAGGGGGAGCTGTTGGCCTACTTCTAATTAAATTAAAAGTAAAATAGCATACATAACATTTAGACTGTGTTTCTGATTAAATAAAGCAGTAATTGATGTCATAAAATAATAAATATGTTTTGATTTAAAGGTTAGAAGCTATAGCTTACATGAAAAAAAATCACAAACATGACACTTGTAAATTAAATAATTTTATATATACTGATTTATTCATTAATGTGTAATATGTTTTATTTTTTTAAACAAATCATAAGCTCTAAAATATTTTCAGAATTTTTACAACTCTTTTACTTTAATACCATCTACAAATGTTAAATCTTAAAATAAAATGTTAGGGTTAACACTGCATCTTTCTGGGGGAACAATGCAGCAGTTGATATATAGTTTATTTACAGTTATTTTCAAAACTTCAATGTACTGTTAAAAAACCTTCATTATTGTTTATTTAATTCTAACAAATAAGTTCTTGTTAAAAATAGTTTGCTTATGATTTCTGCACAGGAGAGACTTGCTGTTGTTTCCAAACAAAAGGAAATATATTGGTATCGGTATCGTATCGGCCAAAATGAGTTGAAAAATATCGGCATATCGGATATCAGCAAAAATCCAATATCGTGCATCCCTAGCCTATACAGTATTTTACAAGAACATACTATTTCATACTATATACTATTTTAAAAGTTTTTTCTACTTTAAAATGGGATAAAAAATAAAAAAGGTAATTGTGACTTTTTATCTCACAGTTCTGATTTTTTCCAATTATGAGTTTATATCTAAATAAAAGATATAAATTCAAGATGTCACAAGAGAAGTTGTGAGATATAAACTTGCAATTGTGAGAAAAAAGTCAGAATTCTGAGATAAAAAGTCACAATTACCTTATTTATTTATTTTTCTGTGGCAGAAAAAAAACTGAATTGCAAGATATAAAATCAAATTCTGAGAAAGTTATTGTGAAAATAAATGTTTTCCTGAGAATTTTGATTTTATATTTCACAATTCTTAGTTTACATATTGTTCAGATTTTTTTTCTATATATTTTTCTATAAGTTTCTATATTTCAATTATGAGTTTTATTATTATAATTAATCGTGAAATTTCTGAGTATAAACTAGGGCTGGGCGATATAGCTAAAAAATGTATCAACGATACAATGTTTCATATCGTTCGGTATCGATAATTATTGACATTTTTTATAACCTTTTTTAAAACAAAAAGCAATAGAAAAAAAATGTTGAAATGTAACCACTGTATTTATAATTAACACAATTTATTTAGACAAACAACAAATATTTTTTGTTTTAACAATCAAACACAATAAAAATTAAACAGATATCTAATTTCTAATGTTTTATATGCAGATTAAATAGGTCTTTATTGTATAGGTATAATTGTCTCCCGAGGTCACAGGAGGGCACAATGAGCAAATAATGCAGCGCATTTAGCAAGTAACTCTATAAAAACGTGCATTATGTCTAAATTAACTCATAAAAATCCAATATAATTTCGTAAATTGCATAAACAATTATGAATAAAACAGCATCATGTATTTATGAATTGCTTAATCTAAAGAGCCGAAATGCCATTCACACAGACTGCATTTAAAAACATATGAGACGCAGTGAAAAGAAATAAACCTCCACAAATTCGTGACGTGTTTTCTAAAAGTTTAAACTGTTTTAACTTT